TTCTTGTCCAATGTTGGGAGACGGCGTTTTACAGAAGAGGAAAATTATATTAGGTCATTGTTATTATTATTAAATAGGTGTTTTGATTTCTTATAATTAATAAGTAATGCATAATAAAACATCAATTGTTAAGCTGGATCCATTTAAAAATCTGGGCTCATTTACTATAATTTATCAGAGATGAAGAGTAAAAGCCCGTAAACAAAATCGAACATGCCTTGTTTTCCACGAGGATCGAACTCGATCTGTCACACTCCTTTTAAGACACGGGCAGACACGCGTATCTTTAGCAAACGGGTCGGATAATTAATTTTGATATGTAAAAATTCAAAAAATTACCCATTCTTATTTTGATAAAAGCTATCCTTCACAACTAATTGAATGGCAAAGTTGTAAATTTTAGTCAATTTTTAGAGATATCAAAAGTGTACTTCTCTTTTATTATATAGGGGATTGTCTAAAAATAAAATAAAATCCAAAACAATACTTTGAATTTCCATTTATAAATAAATCATCAAAAATTATTAAAAAAAAGTACACTGAATTTTTATTAAAATAATAATCTGAACACTTCACTAACAATTTAAAGATTTTTAATTTTACTTTTTTGACAGATTCATATATTACGATAAGTTTTGATGAATTTGAATATCATCAAAACCATGTTATATGTACATCAATTAGACATGTATGGTCCTTATAAAGAGAAAATGTTAAAACTCTCACTCTGTCCACATCTCCTAGATTAAAAATACAATTTATGGTTGGGATTCTAGGGTTTATCGTCACCATAGAAAAAAAGTAAAAAGAAAGTAGTCTCCAACCCAAGCAAGTCCCCAAGAGAAAACATGACGGAGATCATCCTCCCATTTGATCTATTAATTGAAACATTCTCAAGATTGTCATCGTAAGACCTGCGAGGTCTCGTTGCGTGTCAAAGCTTTAGTCTTTCATACTGCGTTGTTTAGAATTCACCCAACTGTTTCTAAATATATCATCGGTTCGGCCGCGTATTTTATTCAACTTCCTATACAACGGTAAACGGATCTTTTACTCCATACCTCAAGAACTAGATCCAAACCGCAACTACTCTTCTCCTATAAGTCCTTATTACCAGATGCATTTCCCTAAAGGTTTGGGTTTTGGGAAGATAAGTGTCCCTCTTTACCTGGTTTGATATGTAACAAATTTAAGAAACCGATGCTCTGTAGCCCTAGCACAAGATAGTACATATCTTTACCCATAGTGACAACCAAGAGGAATCAGATTACACCCTATCTCGGGTATGATCCAATCCAAAAAGTCCTTAAGGATAATACCTTGAAGAGTTTTCGATGTGATCATACTCGAGATGGGGTTTCATCTTATTCCTCTTCGTTGTCACTAGTGGTAAACATATGAACTCTCTGTGCTAGGCTTACAAATCATAGGTTCTTAGATTTGTTAGATCAAACTATGTGAAGAGGGACACATATTTTCCGCAGAACCCAAACTTTAAGGGAAATGCATATGGTAATAGGGAGATATAGGAGAAGAGTAGTTGCGGTGTGGATCTAATTTTTGAGGTATGGAGTAGAACATCTGCTTACCTTTGTGTAGGAAGGTGAATAAAATATGCGGCTGAACCAATGACATGATTTTAGAAACATTTGGGTAAATTCTCGACAATGCAGTAAGGAAAACAAAAGCTTCGACATGCAACGATACCTCGCAACGTCTTCAATTGAAATCTTTGAGAATATCTCGATTAAGAAATCAAATTGGAGGATAATCTCCATTCTTGGGGACTTGCTTTGGGTAGAGACTACTTTATTATGACTTCTTCCATGGCGGCAATAAACCCTAGAATTCCTAACGTGACTTGTATTTTTTATCTAGCTAGGAGATGTGGACGGAGTTAGAGTTTTAACATTATCATTTATAAGGACTACACATGTTTAATTGATGGAGATATAATGAGGTCTTGATGATATTCAAATTCATCTAATTGTATCGTAATATATGAATCTGTCAAAAAAAAGTTTATAAATCTTTAGATCTTCAGTGAAGATCAATGTTCAGATTATAATTTTAATGAAAAAATCCAAAACAATAAACTGATTTTTCATTTTAATTAAAATCATTGTTCATATTATTATTTTAATGAAATTATGACGCTAAAAACCGCATACTTAAAAATAATTAATTAATTATTAAATAATAAAAAATAATATATTGAGAAAACTAATTTGACTGATTAAATATATTTACAAATATAGGAGAGAAAACATACCTAGCAATACAAAATAGGGTTATTCTACCATGAAAAGAATCAATATGTTAATAATCTGTTTCACATGTTCATAATTCCATGATTTTGAAGGTTTACAAATTTTAAATGTGCTTAATATATTTTATTATGCTTAATAACAAAATACAATATTTAATATTTCATATAGAAATTAATAGTTTACATAGGTGTTTTATTTTCTTTTGTTCTTTGTTTCGTGCAAAAATACTCTGAACAAAGAATTTTCTATAACCAACAGCTCAAAATATTGTTTGTAATTGTTTCACTGTCTTTGATTATTTGAACTTATTTTCAAAAGTTGTTTTGAATAGTTTACTAGGAACATTCCAACAAATTATTTAAGTAAATTACAAGAATGGTAGATTTATAGCCACAATTACTACAACGTAGTAAGACTCGACAAAATATCTGAAAATCTAAATATAGTCTTATCAGAAAATAGGGTATCTAAAAAATTGAATAAGAGTATATATATTTAAAGGTTATAATACCTCATTCTAACTTGGATTCACTTTTACATATAATTTATTATGATACAAGTATAAGATTAATATTTTAATGTCTTATGATATTTTGAAAATATCATATGGCCTATATTACTCTTTCTGTTTTAATTTATACAAATTCAACATAATTTATAATTAATATTTTAATAATTTAAACATTTTTTTATGGATCCGGGTCAGGTGTGGATAGCAGTGAATATAGGTATATCCATATCCATATAATTTTTGTCATGAATATAACAGATCTAGATCTAAGTACTCAAAAATTCAAGAGTATTTGATATGGGTGGATCCCTATATTGTAGTATATTTAGCATAAACTTTATAACCTAATGAAAAATAAAGATCTAAAGTGGATCGCTTATAAAACATAAAAATGGAAAAGTAAAGTTATATCCATATAGAAAAATGAGAAATAATCTTACTGATTTACATAGTAGAGACCTCGCAAAAAGAGAACATGATTTGTTTCTCACTTTCTCTCTCATTTCCGGAGTGAAGAAAGCGGGCTCGCCTAATCACCACCAATATCCTTGAGAACCAAAAGAGTTATATAATCTTCTACGAACTTCATTACAAAGGCTCGAAATCACAATGCTATAAAGAAGAGAAAATCACTTACCTATATCAAACCACATGCGTTCAAAGGTTTCAAAATGTGATGAGCGGTTTTGAAACTCAGA